CAGCGGGCGGTGCCTGGCGCGAGGCAGGGGCGGGCAGCCGGAGGCGGCCGTCGGGGCTGAGGCGAGCCCGCCGCGGCCCTACCCCGGGCCGGGGGACGGGGAGGCAGGGAGGCGGCCCGGCCCTGAGCCCCCTTGCCGGGGCAAGGAGAGAGCAGGACTTGGGGGGCAGCGAGCGTCACTTTCGGCCACTGAGTTTCTTCCTGCACACGGAAAGTGGCAGCCACAGGGCCTGAGGCAGCTGCCTGGGAGGCAGCAAGTAGGGGCAGCTCACCAGGGAGCGGAAAGGGGGAGTGTGTATAATAATGTCACTGTAACCTGGTAACTAGGGATGAGTGGCTTTTTGACTGTCATTTTTTCCTCCATTCAGCCACCCAGCACATACAAAACTGCTTTGGAGACACTTGGTCCTTACTAGCATAGTCACTCCCGTGCCCGTCCTTTGCTAGCTTTATTTCATGCCCTTATGTGCAATAGCTTATGATGAGCTTTTTAAATATAGTACTTTTTTGAGCTGCTGTAAACTTTCAGTATGTCAAAGTACATAGTGGGAATTCTCTCTGCTTTCTTTTCCCGCTTCCTAACTTGGTGTTTGGAAAGACACAGCAAGTAGAAAATTCATCCCCTGTGAAATCTGCCTGCCACTGACGTAATTTAAAGACTTCTGTCCTACCCTACTCAGTGACAGCTTTTTCAAGCTGGCAAACCCTAGCATACATAGGCGTTTCAATACGATCCTTTCTGACACTGGGCATGGGGCAAAGAGGGACAGGACTACTTCGAGTGTTCAAATGTGGATACAAACATTGTTTTATGCATTAGCACGATGACTTTTGTTCCATTCTGATGAAAAAGCAAAATGTTTGTGGGCAGAATTTAAAGATGCTCTTATTGGAGACATAGTCTTCTACAGCCATAGTCCTGGGAAGGAGCAAAAATGCTGGAACAGGTAATTGGAAGGGAGAGGAAATAACTGGAAATGTAAAGGGTCGCACAAATATACTAATTCATCCTAGTCAAAGTCGATTATGGTCTTTGCAGTAACTATTACTACTTGGGCATTTTGAATTTTGCAGCTAGCTGTGCAAAAACAGTGGTCAGTAGCAATCTGAAAAATAAATACTGTGCTAGATCCAGGGTGTACCACATTTGAACAAGGTGGACACTTTCAGTCCCTTCACCCTTTATCTCAAAAGGATGTAATAGAATGGGAAGTACAGAGAATGGCAAGGTTGGCCAGAAGGTGTGGAACATTTCCCAAAGAACCATCTCTTGGGCTTTTCAGCACAGAAAAAATGGAAAGATAAAGTCTCAACATTAATGGCTGGCATATAGTTACTGATCCACTGGAGCTTTGAATGCAGAAGATCAGGGAAATGAAATGAAACCATCAAGAGGGTAGGTTCACAAAAAGAAAAGGAGGCAGTTTTTTATTCCACAGAGCAAGCAGTTAAGCTGAAAACCTCCTTGCCTCAGGAAGTTACATACCAGCACTTTACATCAAGTTCATTAATTTACAAATTCATAGAATAAAAAGACATTATAGGCTAACAGGTACAACTAGACCACATGGGCTCACTGGCCAAGCAAAGGCCTCACTCTGCGTTGGAGAGATTGACCTTTACTGAATGCTGAAGCTATTTGGAATTCCAGAAATCCCTTTAATGTAAAAATTGTTTAGTTACCCAGAACTTTCGGTAACTGCAAACTGTTCTTTACCCACAGTATGTTCTGAACTGTTCTGATCTGCAGTCAGCAGGACAGTATATGAATTCTTACTCCCAGGGAAAAAAACCCTCACCATAGTAGCAAGTGATAAACTAATGTCTCAAGGACCAGTTTACAGAAGGAATAAATCTGAACATTTAAGAAAATACACATCAATAGGTTTAAAATTTTTTTATTGTGCTGCCAAGAGCCAAATTACAAGAAACCGCCTTACAGTTAAAAAAGTAAACAAGCAATCTGCTGAACCGCAGTGCACTCCGAGTGCCACATATGCATCTATTTTTCAGAAAATTATATCTGCATTTCTCTTACAAGAGCACAACAGGAACCAAAGTAAAAGAGTGTAATGGATACAGCACATAGGATAAATCATATCTTTAAAATAATAATAATAAAATAATAATAATAAAAAACATTTTACACCATGTCCTATATCCTGCTAATATTTTCAGAATATGGCCTTGATTGTAAAACAAAAGCAAGCATTTACAATTTCTGGATAAAGACTGCTTACTCTTATGCAAGGAATGGATGTTTTGTCTTGACAAAATCTTTGCAGTTACTGGACAGAAACATCTCTGTTTCAATATCAGACTGAGTACAAAACACTGGGGAGACTACATTTTTTCTTATTGGTGGTTGGAAACTGAAGTTATATAAGCAGAAAAAATGTTGACCCTTAATGATACACCTTATTTTTTTTCTTTGATGCGAACAGCTAGAACACCTTTTTGATATTCTAAAACAAAAAAATTGTTAATCTTCAGATTAATAAATTAGGTCATTATAATAATAAATTAGGTTTTTTTTTCTTTTTCAGTTTTAAAGTTCAGCAACCTCTGACCAAGTATTTACAACAATACTTGAGAGTTCCTTTACAAAAAATACATTTTCTTTTCACATTAAGCATACTGGGTATCTGTGTCTCTTATGACAAGCATTTGTAAAAGAAAAAAGGCAATGCACAAATGGGTAATTAGTATAAAAGTGCCAAGACCTGTTTGGAAAGTTAACATTGTATTATACAGTCAGAGTTATAAATGAGGCAAGCTACAACAAACTTCCAGCTTAATGTGGACAATATTCCAGTAGTTGTTTCAAACAATTGTTTGAAAAAAAAAAAAAAAAGGAAAGAAAACAAAAAAGAAAATCCAGGAGCCGATGGTGTTATTCTATGGAGCTGATTAGTGCTGCATGTATATTGTCATCAGTGTCTCTAGCCAATGCATTCATTAAAAAGCCTTTTTAAGGCTAAGCAGGAAAAGAAAAATAAGAAACACCCTGAAATGTAGCAAGTAGCAAGAGCAACGCTTACTGCTATAATCGTGCACGTACTGTACACACGCAAACACAAGAGTGCACACACCCACACACGCGCGCACACACAAACACTTTCAAATCAAATCAAACTGTAGGTAGAATGAGATGCTCTTTTCTTGTCTTTCCTAAACTCACAAGCGATTAAGCATTGATATGGAATGCCTGTTTATCTGTTTCTGCTCTGGGTAAAATCTCTCTCAGATAAAAATACATTCAACAAGAAAAAAAATAGAAAAATATATACTGTATACATAGCATTTTATATATACAGTATATATATGTATACTGTATATACACATGCACGTATATATACATTTGTATACCTACATGCATTTGTATATACACATATATACACAAACATACAAATACTTTTTGTTGTTTTTAGCATAATTATATTTACATAAATATTCCTATAATGCTAAAGTTTAAAGAAGCATGATCTCCTTTTTTTCTGAGCTTCAAAAAAGGTGCTTGAGTAATATACAATTAAAATTAAGCAGCTTCCTAGCATGGAAGTAGTTTCTAAATCTGCATACCAGTAAATAAGAACATCAACAGGAAAAAAAACAACAACCTTAAAACAGTCTCTTTTTTTTACTCTCTTGTAAGCAAGAGCTTTGTCCAACAAAAATATTTTTCCTTCTCCTGTATGAACAACCAGAGATTGATATAAAATAACAAAACAAAACCACAACAGACAAAACAAACAAACAAAAGCCCCTGGAACTGCATGGTGTTCTTGACTTTTCCTTCCTTCCTTCAATACTGCTGTTAAAAGATCCAGTGCTCATATCAGGAATTACTTAGGCCTCAGTCATTTGCTAACTCTGCTGAAGTCTGGCTAATCTAGCCAATCAGGTTTGAAGAAAACAAAAATAAAAACAAAAAGCAGCACAAGGTATAATTTTATACATCCTTAATAAACCCACCCTTTATTTTCTGCTATAACCTTTTCCTTGCTATTTCATTAACTACTGCAGCTTCTCATCATATAGAAAAATATTTGCAGCTACACCACACTTGTGATGTCACAAATTCTGTTCTAGGAGTATATTACTGTAGCAACAGCTGGAAAAAAAAAATCAGACCTTTTCATATTTTTTTCACCTGGGGTTAGGCTTTGCTGCAACAGATGCAATTTCAGAGCAACAAGGAAAACCACTATCCTGCTGCTCGCCAGTATTCTTTACTCATTTTCTTCTCCAGCCAAGCATGACCAGCTTTTCTTCTCTGAAGCTTCCTTTTACCTCATTGCCTACCCCTAGCCCCTGATTCCCCCTCCCAAAAAACCTCTATAGCTATGTTACAAGCAAATACATCTTAACAAGTTTTAAAACTTTGGTTCTAAGAAAACACTTGGTCAGTTATCTCAAGGAAAAGTGGGAATGCTTTTTCTGGCACATTGCAGGAGTCAGAGCTCATCCCAGTAAGATCTTAGAGCTGTACATGTAGTCACAAATCCAATACAATCCACTAAGCAAGTGCACAATTCTAGTTTTATTTTAATAGCAGACTTAGTCTCTCTTTCTCTCTTTCTTAAATCCTTGGCAAGGGTGCAATTCTTCAAACTGTTTGATAGAAATTATCTGCCTGTAGGTTGTTCTGTTTCTGCATGCTGTAAAATCCACTGTATCTTGAATCTGGGTCTGCAATTCTTAGCATCCTCTGAGAACTGTCCACCTGGACCATGGTACCTTTCTTGCAGTCCACGTATACCAGCTGATTGTTTAGGCAAGAAGGCTGTTAAAACAGAAGGGCAATATTAAGTAAATTAAAAAAAA